TCTGGCCCCTTGGCAATTCAGGTCATGCTGTAGTATTTGTTGATATTTCTTTTGAGTCATCTATTATACAGAAACCTTCTATTCCCAATACTTCTTTCTGTTACCAACATACTAACTGGGATTCATTTCGTGATTTTCTTCGTGATGACCTTCGGAGTGATGTTTTTACATTTTCTATTCAGAATTGTGCCCCTGGTGCTTTTGTACAGTTTTGGAAACATCAGATAAAACTACACTCTTCTCTTTGGTTCACACCCTAAGTGTTCTGTTGCTTTCGCTCACAGGAATCACTTATTTCGGCTATTACCAGTGTGTTAGTTTTTATCACAACAGACGTCTCTTTTTCTCTGTTTGTAATAATTCTAAGCATGTCTTCAAGGAGGCTATGTCTTTATTTACTGACAGAATAGCCCCTAATAAGTTTGGTTCCCGTGGCTATTAGTGGCTCTGTAATAGGGTGTTAAATAAAAGTAAGTCTTCCATCCCACCTTTCTTCACTCAGTTTGCTAGTGAAGCAGAACTTTTTGTTTGTAAATTCGATTCCAATTCGGCTCTTGACTTTCCAATTGAAACTGAGTCTCTATTGTGTGGTATGCATATAACTTTGTCCATGTTTCCTGCTATCTCACAAAGTATGTGGATTTGATGCAATATCCTTAAGAAATGTGCTCTTGAACTGGCTCCTGTTCTCTCTAAATTCTATAATAATTCTTCTTACTTTCCAGCTTGTTGGAAATCCTCTTTTGCAGTTCCAAGCTTTAAGATCTTCGGCGAACAGTCTGACCCTTCTAACTATTGGCCTGTTAACCTTCTACCTCTTTTTGGCAAATTACTAGATGGTATAATCAACACTGAATTGGTTAAGCATCTCACGTCACAGAGTTTTCTTTCAAACCAATAATATAGCTTTCGCTTTTCTAGGTCAACTGTTGATGTATTAACGGTATTTGCTGAAAGAAAAATTTAGATTTCATCAAACCTTCGATAAGAATGGTGAAGCTCGAGTTGTTGCTTTCTAGACGAATTTTTGATTTGATTGAGTATTTTCTATCAAATTGTGAAATGAATGTTACTTGGATGGCCACTCTTATAGATCTTTTTACATGAATGTGGGCGTCCTCCAAGGCAAAGTTGTTCCTAATTTTCATTAATGGCTTATGCTAACCACCAGATGAGTGACTCATTTTCAAAAAGAGCATATTGAATCAGTTGCTAGGTCTACTGCTTGAAAATTTGGTTCACGGTGTCGAGTGTTACGAATTTTATCTTTCAACAAAATTCAAACATATAGCAACGAATACGGTACTTCAAACGAAGAGAAATGGGATTTTTTACTCAGGGACAAATAGCAATACAGACAACGTATCGAAAACAAATACGACATGTAAAGGAAACAACAAATAAAGAATAAGAGAAAGGAACATTCACAGAAGATCCTAGATTTTGAATTCCTGATAATCCCGGAAGTTTCTTTTTCTTTGTACTTTCCGTCTCTGGAATATCAGTAGTCAATTTTACGTGGTAGTTAGCCCACGGAGAAAGGATAAATGTTTTTTTTTTCTCGATACAAAAGCCTCAATCTTGCTGATCAGTTAGTATGGGGGCGCCTCTTACCATTGAACATCACATATAAAATTAAATTCGTCGAACGCTTCATATGAAATTGGCAATTCGAATGTTCACCGAATTTAAAAGCGGTCAAGGCCGTATTTTTATGAAATAGAATTTTTAAGAAATAGAACACAGAATAAAAGATAAATTATTTTATTAAATTTTAGGATGGGGATTTTTATTAAATATCAATATTTCAAATGATTGATTTAATTAAACTTAATCATTTTTAATATAAATAACGAGGGTCATGTTACACGTGATAGTGTTTCTCGCCAGAGTACATTTTACACATTTATAAATCAACCTACGTGCCACTGTTGTACCCATTTTCCTTAAAACTTTCTCGTTCATGGTATTCTCGGAATCCTTCTGATAAATTACGACATAAATAGAGAAATAAGAAATAAATAGAGAAATAAGATTTACAACTTATAAGAAAGCTTGATTGATATGGAAAAGTTATTGGAACAATCTGTAACCTTTTCTGGAAATAAATCACATACAGATAGAAACCAAATTTAGAGAATACACAAAAATAGGCGGAAAAGAATCCTGCGTTTTCTCACCAGATTTATTTAACGTCTTGGGCGACATGATTCTAATGGAACTAGAATACCTAAAAAGTTTATTATCAACATACATAATCTTAAGCAGATATGTAGATGACACTTACTCAAAAGGTAAACTGAAAGAACTAGACAAGCTATTAAAGAAAGACTGTTAGAAGACAGAATATATGGTCGTCCTCAAGAAAGACAGCCCAATGTATGAGCTATAAATTAGGGACATCTAAATGAAGTAGATCTAGATATGTAACTGACGACGTAAAATGTGACACTGATATCCGAAGACGGATTAGAATAGTGAAAGAATTTAAGATTTAATATTAAGAAAAAGTATTAAAACATAAAAATTTAAGTAGTAACAAATAAAATACTGTTAAATCGCTATTTCACATTTAATGTCCTACGTAGCAGTGAATATGGAAAGATTTGCTCACAAATGATTAAAAGAGACAGAGATGTGTTTCTACAGATGGACGCCCAAAATACAATGGACTAGGAAGTTTTAAGGAAAATGGGTACGACAATGACACATACTTAAAATCAGAAGGAGTTGAAATTTCTGAGACCTAAAAAGAAGAAAGTGGTTTGAAGACTTACAGGCTCATGGGAAATACTGAAGAGAGGCAGAGGGAAACAGCGAATAACGTGTGAATGGATGAGGGAGCGGAGACAAAAAGGAATGTTAAGGAGTCAAAAGTTGCTTAGAGACACAGGAAATAGGCAAAAGATCACCTACGTCCTAAAGAGACACGACATTCAGTCTGTAGTAAATATTAACAAATAATATAAAAATGATGCTGGTCATTTGGGAATAGGAATGTGGATGAAAAGATATAATAATAATAAAAAGAAGAAAAAAATAATATTTTGTTTGTCAACATAATTATGAAATTACACATCTGATCATTATTTCCATCAATATCATTTATGTTAAATACTAACAATAATTCCGAGACGATTTATAAAGACAAAAAATACAATTGCGATACTATGGGAACCCACGTAGAAAGGGAAAAGGTGGTTTTATTTCGATCTCAAGTGTTTCTATTTGATAGACCAGCAGATGGTTCCTTCTGAAGTCTGATTACTTAAAAGAATAAAAGAAAATGGTTATAATGTGATATTCTAGACACCCACGTAGAAAGGGAAGAGGTGGTTTTATTTATTACCTTGTGAGCCAGCAGCAGGCCCTTGTCTAGCTTTCGGTGCACAGCGACGAGATCTAACATCGAAATGCGACGTAGGGGGTAATTATTTGCGGGATAAAACGGATGATAAGAGACAAAAAGAATCTGTTACTACTGAGACGAAATTATTCGGAGACAAAAGATTCGAAAAGTAGTATAAAAATGTTGGAATAGCTGATGAGAAAAAAAAATTATATCCACTTGCAAAGCAGTAGGATCAGAATTTCTTGATTTGGATTCATGCAGCTTCATGATAAACTCTGTAATGAACTTTAAAATTGCTTGAAGGGAATAGAAGTTTACTCAAATTGATTACCAAAAGCAGGTGAAGCCCCACTGTAAATAACATTGAGAATGGAAACATGGTAAATCATTATAGATCAATGGCATGTAAACACTTGATGTGGCTAATCATTCGCGAACATATAACAGAATAAATGTATTACTTTCTGGAGAACAAAAGAAAAAAGGGATACAGAAGAAGTATCAAAATATTCTGAAGAATTAAATGCATACATTATTCCCCAAACCGGGATTCTCAAATGTCTCAAGATAAATTTATCATTGTCCTTAAGGACATGGTAAAATTTATAGCTAACTCCATAGATCTGAAAATTGAACATAATTTTTCTAAATTTTTCTAAAACACTAACTATTTAATATGCATGGATTATCTAACATTAATCACAATTAAGAAGATAATAGCTTGAATTATTGAGTAAGAAGGAGCTTTAGAAAAGTTTTAAAGCGGAATGAATAATGTGTTAATAATACACAAGAGAAAATTAATGACAGCAACTGGAATTGAATCCTCGGTATAAGAATCAGCTTTTGCAGTAAAAGCAAGTGAATATAGCCTGGAATACTTGAATGTTACTCCATAAAGCACGATGAAATGGACAAATGAAATATCTAATGAAAAACCAGACTAGAAATCTAATAAAATGAATGAACATGCGAGCATGTTTTAGTAGTGAGAAGGGACACAGGCCCCTTTGTAGACTGGTCGGGGGAAGAACTTGAAACGAAAAGGTCGGTAAATTAGAATGATGACTTTGTTCCCAGACATTCCTTGGAAGAAATAGAAATTCAGGAAAGGATTGAGAATGTTTAGAACAAGTAATTTTTGGGTCTGTACGATTATTGAAAAATTTGCGAAAGATTTGGGGAGATTGCTGTAATTCGATCCCCAGCAATAATCCCAAAACATCGAGTGCGCAAATGCAGCAATAATAATGATAACGATAATAAATCGAACCGAGTTAATAACGACACTAATTATAGACAAAAATAGAAGGCAAAACATCAAAAAAGAATATGAATCCCCTTAATTTATTTGAAAAATCTTACTGTAACTTTTATAATTTTGTTTATTATAATTTTTGTCATTCACTATCTGTTTCTTTAATTATTAATGTCATCATCAGAACGAGTGCCTTGACAATTAATGAGATAAATAAAACTGTTTATAAAAATTTTGTTGCATAAATTCTAAATAGCTTAATTTGAAGATCTTGTTTAGGAGAACTTTTTATCAAGCGCCTTCAAACTTTCCATTTTATACTGATGATGAAAAACAAGATACATAGATACATTTAATCCCCCTAAAAAATAAAATATGGACAACATTTACCTGATAAGCGTTGAACTGGTCTTCTGTGAATGTGACCACTTTATTCCCCATATTGTGTTTAGTTTACTAATTCGACTAATTTGCATCTGTCTCAGTGGCAATGGCAAAAAATATCAAGCATCATACCAAATCTATGGATGGCCAATATTGTCATAGTTACAATGTTAAAACCGTTAGAAGCATATTTTATCTATTGCATATAAAAAGCTTACATAGCTTTGACTATTTAAAATCATTTGCCTTCCTATAAATTATATTCTACAGATGAATAAGATTAACTTTTATGTTGGTATATATACTAGTTGTCTAACCAATTAATAATTTGGTATTTATTAATCGTCATCATTGAAGTGACTCATTCTTAATGGTATTAAATATATATAAAACTGATGGCTGTGATGGAAACAACATTTTATGGTGCTTGGAAGATTTTGCCTTGGACGATCGTTCCAAATTTGTTTGATATTAAAATGACAAAGCTTGACAGAGCTAGCCTTAGTAGTTGAGTTTTTAGAATAAATCCAGTCCCAGAATTTGATTTTATACAGCATTTCGTAAGTGAGTTCTTTTAAGAGGAATTGAGAAACTATAAAGTAGTATCTTGCACAGGTAATACATTTAGGTAAGTTCTATAGTTTCATGAATTTCCTTGTTTTTTTTTTCAGGTTTGATTTGCTCCCATATACTGAATGCTAAAACGACAAATATTTGGATAGGAATTGCTTTAAAAGAGTGTAGAAGTCTAAATTTCGATGAGGATAAGTTATGAGTCTATTTTGTGTTAAAGTTAACTGTATAAATATGTTTGAATTATGTGAATAGCTTTTTCAGAATAATAGTTGACAGTTGAGTTTACATAAAACCTTGCAAAACTTTTATCAACCACAAGACTACCCACAAAGAAAATTCAAATTGAAAATGTACCGTTAGCAACATAAGCAAAAAATATCCATAGATCTTTTTTCTTTTTGGTTTTCCGTAGATAAGTTAATGTGATCATCGATTAAACATTATTTTGTTATTTACTATGGTAACTGGTAACTGTGGAGATGAAAGTAGGCACGGGTCCTAATCAAACGAGGAAATAATAATGGTATTATTTGTTTCGATAATCGATATTAAGTTATTTAAATAAAAAGTAAGCTTGCTAGTCTTGCTTGACTATTTATCACCTAGTTTATACCAATTACTATGAACTCATCACAAAATAGCCACAGAATCATCCACGCATATGTATGAATTTTTTCGTACTGATTTATTTTAAAATTGGTGTCCTTATTTTTTGTTGTTATTAGATAATGTATCGGTCATTGTAATCTATTTAATCCTCGGGAGTTGATTGCTCTCATTCCGTTGTTCTTACTAATAGAGACACCTCTTATTAATTCTTTGTCTTTGTGATGATGCTTCTGCTTGTTCCACTAAATTTATGTATATGAATTTCGCTGCGTAACCCAGAGATTGAACTTAAGATGGTCAGATGGTCATGCATTTAAACTAGTGATGGCACGATTAATCGGAACCTGAATCGAGAATCGGAAATATCGGAAGTTTGGTGGGGAATCGGCATTGGAATCGGAGAATTTTTAAACTCATTTCCGATTCCAAAAATGATTCTTTTTGTTTAAAAGTTAATTTTCCATTCCTGGTACTATTAATAAAAAGATATAAATATTTATTGATTTTAAACTACCAGTAAAACTTTTCTCGAATTCTCATTGGTTAATAAATACATGATATTTATTATAGGACAATTTAACCATCGCAAGTAATTCGAATTTTCTCTAAAATCACGGATTGGTCCATTTCCTGACCAATCGCGTATTTTAGTATCTTTTCTATATTTCTGGCGCTAAGCTATCCGGAGCCTACCGATCGATATAAAAGAATTTCGCTATCAACCAAAAGACCAGTTGCAGTTCAATTCTTGGAAAATACGGCACGGCGCTATATTGACATTTTAATTCTTAATTATTACTCCTTCGAGTAATCATACTAATTCCTGTTGATATCACTCAGGAACATTACATCTTTCTACACTGATAAAACACTGTGGAACTATTCTGTATTTAGCTAAGACTTCAATTGAACTTTGTAGTTAAATTACATTCAATTTTGTACTCAAAATTTATTAGCTAAACTTACCCTTTTTTATCACGGAAAAAGGGGAACAACTTTCTTTATACTATTGTTGATATTTGTATATCATTGTTAATACAATATTTTATTAATGTTCACTGAGCTTGATTTTTTTCCTTGATGTTTAAAATTTAATGTATGGATGTTGATTATCTTGAAACACGCAGCCGCATTTAATTTGATCAACCCAACTACTAATCACACCATAACAATTGGTGACGCCGACGGAAACAAACTACAGTTTGTGACACCAACTTTCAAGGAATATAACAGACAAAAGTGAAGTGAACCTTATATTGTGCCAAACACAGTATAAAGAATTCAACGTACAAAAACTTCAACTTGGCGCCCAAAAATTTTTCCTTGTCCACCACGTGCGTAAAAACATATCCAACATGGCCGAACAGAACGCCAGTGAAGCAACCGTGATGCTCAACTTGCCAGTCTTTGACACAACCAACGTCAATGTGTGGTTCGCACAGTTAGAGGCTATATTTCAGGCGAAGAAGATACAATCCCAGATGGTACGTTATGCCTATGTAGTGGAAAAACTGCCACCTGAAATTGCGTCCGATGTGTTGGATTTATTAAATAACGTCCCTATACATAACCCTTTTGACACACTGAAAGAAGCAATAATCTACAGGACGGGGAAGTCGCAAGAACGTAAACTGAATGACTTGTTCAATACGTTGCAGTTAGGCGACAGCAAGCCGTCTCAATTACTGCGAAAAAATGAAGAATTTGCTAGGCAAAAACTCGATGTCCGATTCTTTATTTCGTAAATTGTGGATGGACAAATTACCAACTCACACAACTCAAATCCTAGCTACACTACCAGAAGACCTAGATTTGGAAAAAACGGCGGAGATAGCGGACAAGATAAGTGATGCTGCAACTATCAGCAGTGTCAACGCTCCAACGCTACGCGACACGCCACGTGAGGACGAATTTAACAAGCTGCAACAGCAAATTAATAGGCTATCTGAACAGATAGACCGTTTGTATAGAGAGCGATTACCCTCAGCTCACAACTTATACAAGTCCCGACGACGTTCCCGATCTAATTCTCGGGGAAGAAACGATGTGTATTGCTGGTACCATCGCAAATTTGGACAGGCGGCGAGAAAATGCAAAACCGCACCAAACCAACCGATTTCAAACAACAACCGACTTCGCATGAAGACGTCATGCCAGGATAAATGGAAACGCCAACCCCCCTCAACAGTCATGAAGAAACGATGTATTAGGTAACATCGAAATTTGATAGGAAATGCCACTGTTGCCAGGATTCTCTACTGTTGGGATAGGAAATGTTCTAGAGATAGAAACTCCGACAAAATGTTTCTTGTGGACACAGGTGCACAAATTAGTGTTATTCCACCTAGTCCCAGTTTTTCAAATACTAAATCTTCAGTAACCCTACGTGCTGCTAATGGATCACAAATCCAGACTTTCGGTCAAGTATCAATGACTTTGGACATAGGCCTGAGGAGAACATTCCAATGGTTATTTACAGTAGCCGAAGTCAAGTTCCCAATATTAGGCGCAGATTTTTGGCTCACTATAAACTTATCGTGGATATGTCGAAACACTCACTGTTAGACCAGACGACGAATCTTATGAATTATGGAGTTACTTCCACCCTCACCTCCACTAAACTATGCGTCGCCTTGCCAGCAGACAACCCTCTCAAAGGTATATTGGACAAATTTCCTTCACTTATCCGCCCTTTTTAATATACCGAAACGGTGAAGCACCACACCGTACACAAAAATTCAAACATTTGGCTCGCCAGTCTTTTCCAAGCCGCGCAGGTTAAGTCCTGAGAAGTATAAGCTAGCGCGCGCTGAATTTCAGCACATGTTAGACTTAGTAATTATCCGGCCTTCGTCTAGCCCTTTCGCATCTCCACTCCACATGGTCCCTAAGATGCAGGAGGGGGCATGGAGACCCTGCGGCGATTATCGACGTTTAAACACACAAACAGTGCCTGACAAGTATCCTGTACCTAATTTGGCAGATTTTGCAATTTCTCTGCAAGGTGCAAAGCTATTTACAAAAATCGATCTGAGAAAAGCATTTTATCAGATTCCTGTTGCCGAGGAAGATGTGCACAAGACTGCTATAACGACACCCTTTGGTCTTTACGAATTCTTACGAATGCCCTTCGGTCTCCGAAACGCTGCACAATCTTTCCAGAGGTTAATCGATGAAGCCCTTCGAGGTTTACACCACTCATTTGCCTACATCGATGATCTACTAATAGCAAGTGCCAACATGGACGACCACGTGCGTCACGTAACGCAAGTTTTCGAACGATTAGAGCATTTTGGATTGAAAATAAATCCTGACAAGTGTTTATTTGCCGTTTCGAAGCTTAATTTCCTCGGGCATGTTATTGACGAATCAGGAATCACGCCGATCCCTGAAAAGGTCACTGCAGTGAAAGAATTCCCACAACCAACAACCCTTCGTCAACTCCGTCGATATCTTGGACTGATAAATTATTACCGTTAGTTCATCCCGAACTGTTCACAAATATTAGCACCACTAACCAACCTACTCCGTGGTCAAGGGAAGAAGAACATCCCCATAACGCTCACAGACGAAGCCCTCGTTGCTTTTAACAGTTCTCGCGAAGCTCTAGCAAACTTTACAAAGTTAACATATTTGTGTGATGACAACAAAGCAACTCTGTCATTAACTACAGATGTGTCATCAGAAGCTATTGGAGCGGTTTTGCATCAGCATACCGATAAACAAACCACGCCAATTTCTTTCTTTTCTGTCAAGCTTACTTTGACACAGAAGAAGTATAGTACCTTCTCCCGTGAATTATTAGCCATATACCCTCTCTCTATTCGACACTTTCGACACATCCTGGAGGGACGAAACTTCACAGTTTTCAC